TAACGGTGCCCATGTGGCACGTTAGTGTGCTGATGCGGCTTGGACGTCTGCCAACGTGGAAGAAGAGACGACGACGTTTTGTGCGAAATGGGTTGACAACTTTCCAACTTTGCAAACGACGTCGTTTCTTGGGTTGAGAATGAACCTTGAAGATGAAATTCGCCCAAAATGCTCAATCGAACCCTAAACACCAAAATCCCCCAAATTGATGAAATGAACCCTAAACAGAAATAATCCCACAAATTCTCCGAACGTTGATGACCAAAAATTGATGACAGTGGAAAACATCTACCGGATTTGCTGGGGCGTAGGAAAAGATGAGTATTTCTTCTGGCACGGGGGGATCAAGTGGCGGCTCATCCATTGGGGGAAGAACACTTACAAGGACCGCCGGTCGTAGGTGTAAATGTGGGAGACAAAGTATTGTCTATACCTCCAAAACTGAGAGAAATCCAAACAGGGCTTTCCTTGGGTGTCCTAGTTTCAAGGTACATGTGTAATCTGCCCCTTTATTAAGTTGAAACACTTGCTAATCGTGGTTTTTACTTTGGCAGGAGAAGAAGTCGTTTTGTGATTTTTTTAGATGGGTAGATGACGTCTGTAATGAACGGATGGACCTGGAAGTTGCAAGAATTCACAATGTGGAGTTGGATGTTGCTTAAATTAATTTCAAGTTGAAGTATGTGGACATGATGATGAGAGAGCAAGATCTGAAGATTAGTTAGCAAGGAATGAAGCTTCGTGAGCAGGAAAGAAAACTGAATGATGTATACCTGAAGATGGTGGAGGAGTTATATAGGATGGACAAACAAATTAGAAATGTTGGTAGGTCAGCTAGGGTCTTAGGTGCTGTTTGTGTAGGTGTGATCATCATCTATATGTTTATTGTTAGTGTGGTAAGAGTGAAAACAAGTTACCCCAATGTATTTTTCCTTCAATGAATTGTAATGAGTACTCTGTACTCTTGTTTTCCTAATTAATGAAGAAGGATGTATTATATGGCCTATTATGTGTTGGTTGGAATCTGTCTGTGATAACTCTCCCAAATGAGAGTTAATTTAGTATTTTTATGATGAATTTGTTGCATAAATTCCATATAAGTTGACCTCTTTGCATGATAATTGAGCTAAATATTGTATATTTATGATTAAGTGCTTTGAGATGACTAAGTATGGAAAATAAGATAATATTCCTTGATTTTATATAAGAAAAGATGACTTGTAGAGTGTTTGTCTTCGCAGGAAAAATTGACGTAGGAATGCTGTAGCAGAGAAGCTGACGGAGTAATGATATAGCAAGCGCTACAGCATGACAGCGTGGACAAAGGGACAACCGAACTTTTGAATTTCAAAAGTTAGTTATTCCCCAACAATGAACCAGCAAGCAAGAGAAGTTTCTGGAGATTTAATTCAGAAACCACAAGGGTCAAAGACAAATTCAAAGATTGAATCTTATCCAAATCCCAAAGAACAAGGACAACAACCTTGATTCGGTAAACAACATTGGCACAAGAAATCCAAGAAGATAAAGATCCTATCCAATTGAGTGCCAACAAATCCGAAATTCCCAAGAATCAAGGACAACAAACTCAGCTCCTATTCGGTCAACAACAACATTGGCACAAAGATTTCAAGAAGATCAAGATTTTATCCAATAAGTGCCAACAACCCAAGAATCTAGGGATACGATAAGGCTGCAGCAACAAGATTCATGGATTTTCACTCCTAACCCTAAAGCCCAATTATCCAACCACTTTTCTTATTTAAAGAGGAGTTCCCCCACGGATTCAACAAGCGAGAGAGAGGGCAGAAAGGCAAGAAAGAAGGGAGGGGAAGAATGTAGTACCCCTCCCACATTTTAGAGAGAGAAAGTAAGGTTCTTAGAGGAGGAAGAGCTGTTGGAGCAGTGCTGGAGCAAAGCAGTGACGACGTTTTTCTACAACATTCGTTTTCATCTTCTTTTCTGTTTTCTAATGAGTTCTTTCTTTCTTTTCTCTGTTTTATTTAATTCCATTATGAGCTAAATTGCTCTATAGGTTAGGTGATAAAGTACCTATGCTGTAACATTGAGATGTATGCCTAAACTTTGTTTTTATTAATGTTTAATTAGTTATTCAACGAGTTTGCTTAATCTTATTCATGTGTGCATGTCAAGAGATACATATATGATATTGAGGAGGTTGGGGCCGAGAGGTTTCCGAATCCAGACCCTTGTTGAATTGTGTGGATTAATTAGGTTAAGAAAGTTAACTTGATTAAGTTGTGGGTACACCACATAGCCTAGAACTTGAACTTGAACAATTCAGTGATTAGTTTGGCCATAGAGATGTGGGAATTAGTTATTGGGTATATATGTTAGGTTGGCCAAAAGCCCCAACATACTTTAGTGTTCGGTTACTAATTAAGCATTGATATAGCATCGTTAAAGCATCGTTTCAGTATTGCTGTATCAGGGAAATTGAATCTGACCTATATCTCATCCATCATCTTAATACCTTTAAATTTAGCTTACTATTTTCTTAGTTTAATTATCTTTTAATTTACAAACCCAACCATAAAATTAATACGTTTCTAGTTTCTTTACTTAAATAATTATTGCTTTATAAATCATCTCCGTGAGAACGATACTTTGACTCACACATCCCTTTATTACTTGTGACACGTGCACTTGCGTATTTGTGTGATTGATTTAATTGATTGCAATTTGCACAACAGTTTACATCATACATTTTTGCATACTTAGGCATGGAATGAATGTGTCAGATTGATGCATTGGTTGTATTCTGTGTCAGTATTCTGTGTATTCAATGCCATCTCAATGCTATTTTTGTTTAAGTTTGGTATATTGCATACATTGCTGCATGGTATCACAAACCAGAACGTACAGATACAGAAGCCTCAAAAAAGATATTGCTGTTACAGAAGTTCCATGTTGGACATTAGATTTGTAAATCATGCCAAAACAAGAGGGCCATTTTGGTCCTTGACAATTTGCACGAGGACCTTTCTGGTCCCTGGCAAAAATCACAGGGCCCTAATTGGTCCCCAACAAGAAAGAAATAGGCAGAAGACTTGATTGCTTTTCTATGCATTCCAAGTTTGCAAAACAGATGTGCAGAATGTACAGAACAGGAGTGTTGTCCAATTTGTTAAAACAGAAGTCAGACATGGATGTCCAAGAAGTAAAAATAGATATGTCAGTTTAAAAACATAAAAAATGGTTAACTTAAACATTCATGAAGAGTCCACTAACATACTAGGTGGATCACGATACTACACTGTGACCCTTTTGGTCCCTGACAAAAAGCATGGGGCCCTTAATGGTCCCTAAACAGAGAAAAATAGGCACATGACTTGATTGCTTTTATATGCAGTCCAAGTTTACAAAACAGAAGTGAATTACATCAGAAATCAACAATGCTGTCAAATTTGCAAAACCAAAAGACATGGATGTCCAAGAACTACATCATAGCAGAAGACAATATGCAATGCTGACACATAATAGCTGGAACATGATTTGAGTTTCATTAAATTTCAAGACATGGATGTCTAGTAGTGCATTACAAAATAAAGCCAACTGTCAGGAATCAAAAGTAAGGCCTCTAAATACAATATGGCCATAATTCACAAAAAAAAACATTGACTGTATAAGGCCTCCAAAAACATAATGGTCAGAATTTACCAAAAAAATCAGTCACATTATATGCAGTCCTTGTTAGTTGGCTCATGCACTACTCCCAGGTCATATACAGCAGCGGGTCATTTTCTTGAGGCAGGCTTTGGAGGCCTGAAACCAGGTGTTGTCATGAAGTGCAAAAATCTGACACCCAAGGAAAGCCCTGTTTGGGTTTCTCTCAGTTTTGGAGGTATAGACAATACTTTGTCTCCCACATTTGCACCTACGACCGGCGATCCTTGTAAGTGTTCTTCCCCCAATTGATGAGCTGCCACTTGATCCCCCTGTGCCAAAAGAAATACTCATCTTTCCCTACGCCCCAGCAAATCCGGTAGATGTCTTCCACTGTTGTCGATTTTTGGTCATCAACATGCAGAGAATTTGGGGGATTATTTCTGTTTAGGGTTCATTTCATCAATTTGGGGGGTTTTGGTGTTTAGGGTTCGATTGAGCATTTTGGGCGAATTTCATCTTCAAGGTTCATTCTCAACCCAAGAAACGACGTCGTTTGCAAAGTTGGAAAGCTGTCAACCCATTTCGCACAAAACGTCGTCGTCTCTTCTTCCACGTTGGCAGACGTCCAAGCCGCGTCAGCACACTAACGTGCCACATGGGCACCGTTAGATGGGCCGTTACGGTAGAGTTAACAGAAGGACCAACGTGGCTCTTTTTTTGTTATTTCAGGGACCAATTTGTCCATTTTTTATTGCTAGGGACTGAAAAGGCCTTCGTGAATATTGCCAGGGACTAAAAAAGATATTTACTCTTAAAAGTATAAACAACTGGTATTAGAAAAGAAAAAAATCTCAACCTAGAAATAATTAAAATAATAACTTTGAGAGCACAAACAATTAAAATTGAAGAAGAAAAAATTCAACATAAAAAATTCAATAATTATTAACACTTTAAGAAATTATATATATAAAAAATACTAAATAACGATATATTCACAGATTTTTCAACATATAATAAACACATTTACTATTAAAAGTATTTTTTTTTATTTTTTTAATAGAAAGTGAGTGTTTTATTATATTATTACGTACGAATGGATCCTGCATGATGAGAGGATGGATTGTAATTAATTGAAGTTGAGGAAATTATAGTTATTTGTCTTGTCTCTTACTCTTTGTATGTGTACATTTTTGGGCGAATTCCTACCATAGGATTTCTCCCAATATAGCTTTTTCCTCTCGGAGTCCTCGTCCACATGATTAAAAATATTTGTTCATAATAACTATGCCTCCTCCTTCTTCTCACTGGTGTTTTGTGTTTTGTGTTTTAATGTTTAACCCCAACAGCACCAGCATCACTTGGCACATGACATGGGTGGTGCACCTTCTTTCAAGCCATTCAACCTCACATTACCCTTCTTCCCTATCATCATCCTCACCATCACCACCCTCATTCTAATTGCAGGGGCTGACAATGATTCCAGCGAAGACCCTCCTCCACTTGAAGATAATAACGGTGCCACCACGCCACCCCAGGTTATGCCAGCGCCGGCTCATCGTCGGAAACCGGAGGGGCCCGTCAGGCCAAGCACCGCCGTAGTAATGGGCGTCTTGATCACCACGTTTTCTCTAACTTTCCTCCTCCTTCTCTACATTAAGCACTGCAATGGCGGGCACATCTTCACCGCAAGCGACCCAAATTCCCAAGGGGCCCCACCCTCTCATGAAAGGAAGAACTCCGGCATTGAACGCGCCGTAGTTGAATCGTTACCGGTTTTCAGATTCGGATCGCTGAGGGGACAAAAAGGCGGGCTCGATTGCGCGGTTTGTCTTGCAAGGTTCGAGGACATTGAGGTTCTCCGGTTGCTACCGAAATGCAAACACGCGTTCCACCTCGAATGTGTGGACACGTGGCTCGACGCGCATTCCACTTGCCCGCTTTGTCGCTACAAGGTCGACCCTGAAGACATTGTTCTGGTGGAGACGAAGGTTCCGCCGCCGCCACAACAAAACGAGGAGGAAGAAGTAATCGACATCGAGAGGGGAAGAAATAACAACAACAACGTTACAACACAACCAGACAATTTCAACTCGTCGGTGGGAGAGAGAGACGGTGAATTCTTACAGGTTATTTTGCAGACACCAAACGAACAGGGGCAGGAGGAGGGGAAGCAGGGACAGAACACGGAAACGTCGTCGTTGAGGAAAACAAAGAGCGAGGGCGTTGGGTGCTTTGTCCGTGCTCCCAGAAAAGACGGAACGTTATTGACACAAGACGGCGACAGGACAAGCGCGGAACACAGGTTAGAGCACCGTATCATTGTCTCCCCTGGTGGGCCCCACCACCAACAACAACGGTGGAGCGATGTTCACGCGTCTGATCTGCTGTACCTGACCTCAGAGATGATCATCAGCGACGCTCCTTCCACGCGCGGTGGAAGGAGAACCGTGCGGGAGCGCAACCGTAATGTCGAGGGCGAGATGGAGAACGGTGGGAGAGGAGTGATGAATTTGAGGAGTGTGTCGGCGATGACGGGGTTGAGCAGGTTCATGAGTAGGGAGAGAGAGAGGGAAGGACAGCGTGGTGGTGGTGGGGAAGAACAAGAGGGAGTGGTTTCGAGGTGGTTGGGTTGGATATCCAAGCCTCAGCCACGGGGAGATGTACGGTAGGGATCTTGTTATTTGCCATCTTCTGAAGTCTGTCAATCTTGGAACTGGTGACTGTAACATTTGATTTGTATTTTGTAGCTTAGAATAGCATTAGTGTTAATGTTGATTTTGTTATACGTTGATTAATTGGGAGCTTTTAGTTTCTACTTTGTTATTGTTATTAGGGAAATAGATATATAATGTTGTAGGAAATTGGTTGTGTCATGCTATAGACACAATCAATGTAGACCCACCACTTTCTTTTATTATTTTTTTATTTTAAAAGTGGTGAGGTCCATATTGATTGTGTCTATAACATGACACAACCAATTTCCTACAACATGATAGATCTTGTTATTATTATTACTTTTTCCTTTGAGGATTAAGTATCTAGAGTAAAAAGTAGGATATTTATATATATTATATTTTGGAATATGTTATTTTACCTTTGTTTTTTCTTTGGGATTATTTTTCTTACGTAGTATGAGATAAGTTCTCTTATGTTAAGAGACAAATAAAGTGGACCCCATTAACTTTTAGAAAAAAGAAATAAGAGAGGCATATTTTTCTAAGTGAGAGTGTCATAAGAAATCAATCTCATGCAACATAAAAGTATAATTTTCCTTAATTTTTATATATCTACTTTATATACTGCTTTTCAATATCCTTAGATTAGAATCTCAATTAACTTTTATCATTTTTCTCTCTTATTAAAATTCTCATCTAACAGTGTTGAAAAATGATAGGCATCAACAAAAGTAGGTAAAATAATTTATTCCTTATTCTTTTGTTGTTTTTGATATGGTTATTGATAAAATGATTTTGAATATATATAATGTTATTTCCTAATAATTTTATTCGATTCTATAATTAATATGCAAATGTATTAAACTTGACACCAATTGAAGTTATCAATATAAGTGCAAATGGATAATACCGAAAAAAGATATAGATGTGTGTCTATTTGATATCAGATCAACATATTCCATGTTTTATAATAAATATATTTTATAAGATTGAGATTACTCATGGTTTCAGGAATGCCACAAGTATTTTGCCAAAAAATACCATTGTGCATGTTAAGAATGCATTTCTAAGTGGTAGATCTAAAGAGGAATTTGCTTAACTTAAAATAAGTACGCCAAAATAGGTACCATAATGAGATTATTTATGAATAGAATAAGGAATATATTGGCATTATTTGATGAGCCAAAAAAATCATCTAGCTATTTCATGGTAATTAATCTACTGGCCTTATGAAGAAATTGGATATGAGAAAGACAACGCTAGCTGCTCTTGGCTATTTCATCACTCTCCGAAAAACGGCGTCAATTATTGATACAACATACATCCTATTTGTCTGATTCAGGGAGGATGGGAAATTGATGAATCTGTAGAGGAAGCAAGCAGCTTGCAGGGAATCCCTTGAAGAAGCAGGAGTATAAGGAATCGTTGAGGTGTTGGATATTTTGGAATTTTTAAAATAATGAAGGGCGCATGTTTCCTTTGCTTGTCAAGGAACAACTTGACTTGTGGCTAGAGAAAAATCTACGGAGAAGAATATGGGTGTGTTTAAGAGCTATTATTAATGTGTGTTTGAATTAGTTTGGTTTACTTTGAAAAAATCTTGTGTATGATAAAAAATATTCAAGAAAAAAATTTGGGACTAAAACCTTGTTTTGGCTGTTGAATAAATTAATTGAGACATGCATTGTTAATAAATTTAAATTACAGTCGCTTATTTCACTAATTCTCTTTGTAATCACTTTGTGTAGATGAATGTTGCTGAAGCACGAGAAGTTTGTCAGCATTGGTGGATGAAGCAAGCATTAGATATATTAGTGAAACGACCCACTCCACACAAAATAGGAACATATAGCATTGATTTTTGGGGGCAAGTTCATTATGTTGATAGGAAATTGTCATTGTTTTCACGTCTCTAAAGTTTAAATAAGCAAAAGATTACAGAGAATTGATTGGGGAATGAGTTGTATTTTTCATTGTAGAGATTAGAATATTGTACTGCAATACTCTAATTGTTTTATAAAATTTATACCAATTTGTCAAAAAGTATGGAAAAATAACATATTTATGGGTTTTATTAGTGTTATGTTACATGATTTAAGTGTTGTTTCCAACACACACACAAAAATAGAGAGTGAAAGTGGAATGATGAAAGTGAAAGAAAAACATGTGGACCTCACCTCTTTAATGTGTGTGTAGAAAAGTGATGTTATATCATGTTACATGATAGACATAAAATCCCATATTTATATTACCTTTTTTTATGGTTATTTCTTTTTATATCCTTATTATTATTTTTTTTGATAAAAGAGTATCTACTCCAGTTGTACTAAAAATACACTCCACTAGATCATGTCTCTCAATGAAGCAAGCCAAACCACAGGCAAAAACACCATATTAAGATTGTTGGATAAAAGATTTGTACAATTAAAGCACATTTCATATTCTTTACCAAGTTGATGCAATCAAACACGACAAGATCAACAATTCCGCACCATTAAAATACGGGACTTGCAGCCACATCAACCAATCTCGCATCATTCATATGCATTACTTGTCCGTGTCAATCTCACACTAATTTGGTACGAGATTTATTGCCACGTAAGCAGTCTCATGCCTGACAGTACGAGACTAATACCGCACCAACACTATGCAGTTTCTCTCTATTGGATCGGAGAAACATATATTGAACGAAATAAATTTTCAGTATTAATGTTGTACTTAAGTGGATACAATTTTGTTATTTTTGAAAAAAAATGCAATGTGATTGAGTTTTTTTTTTTTTAAGTATTAAAAAAAATTTCAAAAGTGAAAAAATATTATACCCAATTGGATATACGAATCGTAACAAAGATTTATGGGTATTGGACTTGTGAGTTGATCTTTTTTTTGTGTTTCAGAGTTTCAAATTATTTTTTGTTCCTGACTTGTGATATGATGTGCCTTTTTGTGTCTCCATCATAATTCAATTTGTGTTTTTCTTTAATATAAAAAACTAAGATAGCTTTGCTTAAATATTAAATAACAACGGACAATGGTTGGACTAGTACACATGGTGAATATATTTTACTTTCACATTTGGTAAGATGATTAAGTAAAAATATATAAAAATTAATTTAATATATTCACAAATTGTTATTTACACTTTAATTTACATAAAAAATCTATTTAAACTTTAAATGTGATTTTTTTTTTTATTTACACTTTAACTTTATTTCTTGATTTACAACATAAAAGGTAAGAGAAAGGGGGAAAGATAGAAGTACTAGCAAGTTGTTGATCCTAACTGCCACGGAGAAATTGAGTGAACTGCAGGAATTGAAAATGGAGAACTATTAACGGCAACATTCAACTCTGTTTAGATGAGTTTTTTTTTTTTCTTCAAAAGCTAAAAAAATGTGTTGTTTTTTTTAAATCATTTATTCCCTTATACTTTTTTATTCTTCTTAGAATAAAAAAATAAACTAATATATAAAAAAGAAAAGAAAAACCAAATATATTGGAAACATGTAACACTAAGAGAGCTTTTTCTTAAAATAATTTTTTTTTAAAAGGTTCTTTTGAGTCACTCATGCGTTTGGATAATAACTTTTTAAGAAAGCAGAATTTAAAAAAAGTGAAAATAATACTCTTTTTAGAAGACATTATGGGCCCGTTTGGATAAACTTTTATTTCTAAAAAAGTTAATTATTTATAAAAAAATCATTTTGAGAAATTTTAGATATTTGGATAACAACTTTTTAAAAAAGCAAAATTTAGAATAAAAGTTAAAATGGTGTTTTTTTAGCCAATAGTTGGTTGCTTTTGGGAAAAGCAAAAATTAAAAGATAATATAAATTTTTAAAATATAAATTTAACCTTATCCTGTCAGCCCGTTATCTCATCCTATCCTACTATCATTTTTTTTGGTTAACTACAACAACCTATCACTTTACAATCAAATATCTCCCTCTTAATTATTTTCACTCATATGTTTTCTTATCCAAGGTACCATTTTCTTTCATCTCTCCTCATCCTACAATTGCTATTTTTTGTTTCTTCTTTTTTCTTGGTAAAAGGTACAATCCTATGCATAAAAAGTCCTTTTTTCAAAAGTCTATGGGCTCATAATTCCTTGCTTTTGACTCTCCACCACTATTATCATCGTCACCACCACCACCATTCCGACACGACCACTGCCACCATCGTCGCCGTCGTCATTGTACCACTAATGTTGTCGTCACCACCACCACCATCATGACGATGCCACCGCCACCATCACCACCACCACGACGATACCATCGCCACCATCACCATCACTATGCCACCATCATCACCACCACTACCATCACCGCCATCAACACCATCATCGACATCGCCACCACTACCACCACTAGGACGCCACCACTTCCATAACTGTCACCAACCACCACTACCATCACCATCACCAGCACCACGCCACCACCACCTGCATCGTCACCAACCACCACCCTCATTGTCGCAGCCATTAGCATCACCACCACTATCATGCCATCACCACTTCTACCACGCCACCATCGTCACCATTACCATCGCCACAGCCACTGCCGTCACCACCACCACCACCACACCATACGAAAAGGAAAGTGATGATCTGAAAAAAATATAAGCTTAATAGGAATTTTTTTTTGTGTTATCAAACACAATCTCATTCTCAGAATAAAAATAGAACATGTTATCAAACACTTTTTTTTCTCATAAACAGTTCCAAGGCACAAAAATAGAAAAGAATTGTTTCTTTTCAGAAATAGTGTCAGGGAACAGAATGGTTGTCATGGACACCCTAAAAGTCAAGTAATTTTTTGAAAATTCAATTTTATTTCAACCCCACTCCAACTACTCTACCCTACTACCATCACATATCCTTTTTCATAATTTGCTGGGGTATGTTTTTCTCCTGTTGCAGGAGAAAAACATCTCCTCCTGCACACCCATAAAAAGTCCCACCGGTTGCTTTTTTTAGAAATCTAGTGGCCCAC